TTTTTTTTTTTAAGATGACCGGTAAGGGGATCTTAACCCTTGACTTGGTGTTGTCAGCATCCCGCTCAGCCAGTGAGCTAACTGGCCATCCCTATATAGGATCTGAACCTATGGCCTTGGTGTTATCATCACCACACTCTCCAAAGTGAGCCACGGGCCGGCCCTGCCATGATCTTTTTGAAGTACCCTCATACGTAGATGCTTAGGCACAACCTCGCCCATGCTGCACTGATTTATAATGAATTGGTTTGCATTTAAGAGAAGAAAAGCAAAAAGATCAGAAGCTATTCTGCACAAGAACAGGAAAATGAATGGAAGAGCGTAGGTAAAGTGGCTGATAGAATAAAACCTCTCTATTCGGTGTATAGTAAAACCATACAAAAATACTTTGTGTTTTTACCTAAAACAGAGTTAGGGTCTAGGCTTAGATCATTGTAAGCATGAACACAGGTTTTTCATCATAAGAATGTTTGGCAGGACATTTGAAAGTTGTATGGGGCATAGGAAATTCTTTGTGGGAATGCCCCTCATATTGGCTGGCATCTACCTGCCCTCCACTCCCATACACTAAAAGCTGGGAGTCCCTGTCCCCACCCTCATCCCTAGGACAGATAAAGCACACAGCTATTTCTGAAATGCCCGCTAGGGGGAAGTACCCCCGCCTTGGAGAACCACTGCCAGGTGAGGCCACCTCCTGGGTAGGGGAGTTTCACTTAGGGATTGTGAGCACCCAGTTACCGGTGAGCTGAAGATCTCCTTCTCGTTGAAGATTAGATGCAGCTCAGCGGCTGGAGATAACTTTTCTACTTCCAGCCAAAGCCGCACCTGCCCTTGCTCGAGGATGTCAATGTTCCAGCCGGAGATGAGTTTGATCACTGGGAGACACAGGAGGATCTAGGTGGCTGGGGCACCCACCTTCCTCCCCACTCCCAGCCAGCGCCACCATGAGTGCATGCATTTGACATGCAAAACCCTTGGAGAGCCTGAAGGAGACATGTCTGTTGAGGGGGTCTGTGGAAGGTTTTCTGCATGCTCACTCTAGATTTAATTAAACTCAGTGAAGCATTTCCTCTGACAAGGGCTCTGGGGCCATGGTGCTCAACCTGGCCTCAGACCCTGGAGGACTTTCAAAAACACTAGTGTCTTGGCTCTACCCTCAGAGACTCATGTTTGTCTGGGGCATGGCCTGGGCTTTTTTGGAAAGCTCCCAGGGTGAATCTAACATGCAGCCAAGTTTGTGACCCCTGCTCCAGGGACTGCACACACCCTCCCAGCCAATGGAGGGAAGTGGAGGTTTAGATGGCCCAAAATCCAAATGACTAAAGAGCCAGTGTTAATAATTATAGGAAGAAGAAACCACCCACATTTCTTTCCTTGTACCCTCTGAGCCCCCTGCTGGCTGTCCTCTTCTCTCTCATGGACTGCCACGTCTCTGACCCTCCAGCCATGTGACTCTGCATCCTCTGCCCCCCGCCCCCAGGTTATTTTCTGGCTCTTGGCTTGACTCACTTCTGCCCAGGACATTTGAATGGGCCCAGTGGGAGCTGTACAAGGCTGGCAGCAGCTTGTACTGCTTACCTGGGTTTCTGATCTCGTGGCTCAATTTCTTCAGCTTGTCCAGCTCTGGGACAGGGAGGAGCAGGGAAGAAGCCAGAAAGTATGAAATATCCAGGCCAATGGGGTCCCTGGATGCCATCCTAGGGTCCCATGCTGGGTGAAAGTCTTGAGGGACACCCTGCTGTCCCCCAACTTGGGGTCCCTTGGCTCCACAGGGATTGATAGTGAGCACTGTGGGCCTTGGCCCTGGGGCACCGAGGGAGATGCTGGGGCTGTGGCTGAGATTATGTATTATCCCTGTTCTGTAAGGCCTAGATCCAGTCCCACCTCCCCAGAGGAGCACCTACTATGTGCTAAGCTCTGCATGAGCTTACTATCCTCACACAATGCTGTGCTGTCCACCTTCAGGCCATTCCAGGCCCACTAATGCCAGAGCCTGTTGTTAACCCACCACAACATGTTGCCCTAGTATCTAAGGGTCTGGACCGCATACCGAGCACTCCAGTCCGGAAGTCTCTAGGGCTGTTCTACAGAGTACTGTCTCATGTGCTGACTGCTTCCTTATGTTACGTTTGTCTATCCTGCAAGGGTGAGCTCTGGACCTACATGAATGCCTGGCACACAGCTGGTGCTCAATAAATATGTGTTGCATGGATGAATTGGCAGAGCTCATGTCTCATTTTCCCTTGTAAGCCCTAGAGTCCTTAGCATGATAAGTCTGGACTCAAGGCAAACCTCCAGTCAAGAAAACCCCCTAAATTCCACACTTTTGTGTATGGCTTTAGTTTGCATAGAGGCATCTAATTGTATCTGCATAAAACATTGTTTCAGTTGTGTCATAATTCAGGGATTATAATTCCTCTTTGTAGATGAGGAAACAGGCCCAGGGAGGTGATATGACTTGGCCCTGGTCAAAGAGCCAGCAAATTATGAAACTGAAATTGGAACCCGGGTCTCTCTGGCTTTTGCTTCTTAACAAAATCAAAGGAGGTAATAACTCCAGGGTCCAGGGTTCGATCCCTGTACCGGGCAGCCACAAAAAAAAAAAAAAAAAAAAAGG